CTCTTGTCTGTCTTCCTACCGGCTGTTGGTCTACGAGGCAGAGGCTTATGGGACTAGATTCACCCGTTTGCTCTAGACGCAGCCCAGGCTCAGCACTCGTGGATGGAGTCCATGTTTGTGAATTTACTTGTGAAAGTTTGTTTCTGAGCCATAATCAGCAGTTGCCTCACCTTCTGGGTCACCTGTGGCCGTGCTCAGAGCCATGAAAACCACACGCTGCTGAGGCGTGTCCCTGACATGTGTGACAGCCTGTCTCCTGGTCCAGCTCTTATGTTGCAAGCTGCGGTCCTGCTCTCAATCTCTTTGGCGTCAAGGTTTGTTTTGGCTTTTGTGTTTTTATGCCTTTTGTTGGTGATTTTGCTGATTAAAATGGCCCTGGCATCAGGCTGACGAGCCGTGTAGCATCCCTGAGTGTAAGAGGATGCAGGTAGGGGACAAGCATCCCTTGGGCACCAGATGCAGTCTCCCCAAGTGCTGTGGCTCGATGATCTCCGAAGTGGCATTGGCAGTGACTTCGTACAACACAAGTGCTGTGAATAATGGGTATTGGCCGAGCATCCAAGACCTTCAGAGGAGACCACCTGTCCATCTTCCTCCTCCCGTCTCTGCCTCCCTCAACGAGTGTGCCTCCCATGATGTGGCCATGTTCCAGGGTGTGTGCCGGGCCTGGCAGAGGTTTAATGCCGCCTTGGGTCACCAGGCGCCTCCTCAGTCTGAATGGCCAGGCCCACGCAGAGGCAGGTGCCATGGGGAGCTCTGAGTAGCTGGAAACCCCATGGAGGTCAGCCTGAGCCCCACAGCGGGTGGAGGAAGTGTGTTGTGCGGAGAGTGGTGGGTCCCCCTGGAGCTTTCACAGGGCTGCATGGGGCCCACCGGGTGCCGAGTGGCAACTATGGGCAGAAGAGACCCCTGCGAGCCCTGCGGCCCCTGTTGGCAGGACCACGACGAGGCACAGACGGGGGTCCTCAGGACCCCCACCCAGCCTGTTGGGCGAGTGCCAAGACACGGGACTGCCTGGTTGCCCACTCGCCTCCTCTCTGCTCCCTGCACATGCCTGCTCCTCTGCTCTGTGGTCCTGAGCACATGGAACCAGGCTCTTCCTCTATCCACGGCAGGTTCCAGGGAAGGACACGGAGTCCAGGAGAGCCACCCCGTCCCCATCCTTCAGCATGAGGACTGATACAGCAGTTGCCACTCCGAGAAAGCAGCTGAGGATGGGCTGAAGGTCAAGGCCAGCAGGTGATACCAGGATCTGAAGGAAGCGCCTCCAACCTTGCTGTCCGTGGAGCCTCCTCTGCGCATGGGTCCACCTGAGCACCTTTCCCACTGTTGCCACCAGACTGTGGCGGAGCCACCTCTCCACCCACCATGTGCAGGAAGATGCACAGAGGCAGAAGTGCCCTCTGCTCCCATCCAGGCATGCTTTCCCTGTCCCTCCGGGGCTTTTCCGCTGTGTCACAGGGTACGACCTCTAATCACTTCCTGGGTCATACATTCTAGGAAGAGTATTTAAGTAGCTTTGTCCTATTGGATCCTGTGAAATATCATTTACCTGCTCATTTGCAACTACTGGGCATTGACGCCATTCCTAATGCCTCTGGTATGCGATCCCTCAGTGGACACCTTTGTGCAATGCTCTCTGGAGTGCACAAAGTGCTCTCACTTCATCTGGGTCTACTGTCCATAAGGGAACTCCCGTTCCCTCCAGGACCTGAGCTCCAGAGGACCCACTTGGGCCCCGAGGTCTCACTTGCAGCTGGGGCCGGCCCCACATACCTATTGAATGAGTCCGTGGTGTCTGAGGGAGTCCCTGGTGGGGAGGGGCCACCTCCCTGTGCTGTGGCCTATGGCCTATTGGGGGGCCCTGGAAGGTGGCCTGGCCTCACCGTGTCTGACCACAAGCCCAGCTACAGTCCCAGAGGTCTCCTCAGAGGCAGACCCACCCCCAGGTACCTGGTGACGGGGCTTCCTGGGGGCAAGGCCGACCCTGCTCTCCCTAGCAGAAGTCTTCCTGCTGGACCACTCTGGCCATCTCCAGAAGAGCAGTGTGATGATACAGCCATGGCTCCTGCTGGGGTCCCGGCCTGGACATGAGCCTGCATGGGGCAGGTGTGTGCCCCTGTGCAGGACTGCCTGCCCTGGAGTCCCAGGGAGCCCCCTCATCTGCTGCGGAGGGGAGGGGCATGGCTCCAGCTCTGTGGCCTTGAGCAAACTACTTAAGCCAAAAAGTCTCTGTATTGGGCCTCAACTTACTCATCTGTGATGAGGGACTCATTGTGGCCCTTGGCCTGACAGCTGTAGCAGCTCCGGGTAGTGGCTCCAGTCAAGGCAGCTTGCATGTGTTCCTCTACAGCCTGGCCTCGTGGGAGCCTTGGGATAAGCAGCAGAGCAGACGGGCAGTGCTTGTTACCCCATCGGAGCCAGGGGATGGAGGCTCAGAGCTGTCACAAGATCTAAGGACACGGTCCTGGCAAAGCCCTGGTCCTAAGGTCCGCCCAAGGATCCCTCAGGCTGGATCCAGGGACTTGCTGCTGAGCCCAGCCCGAGGGTCCTTATGAAAGAGGATTGTGACCTGTCTACTGGCTGCTTAGCCCTGGACTCCAATGGACATGGGTCAACAGAGGGAATGAACTCCCTGTCACTGGAGGCATGTAAGCACGGCTGCCTGAAACCACCCTGGGGGTCTCAGAGGCTCAGAGTGTGTAGCACTCAGTCAGGGACAGGTTCTCCCCACTCCCCGTGGCCTAAGCTGCCTCTGTGATGTGGGAGTATGGCTGCCATGCACTGCACATCTGCCAGCTGGGGGTGGGCATAGCCTGCAGGCAATGCTGTGAGTGTCCAGCCGTGTCCTTTGTCACCAGACGGGCACGGTGCTCGCTCGTGGCCAGGGTGGCCCAGAAAGCAGGGAGGAGGCCAGGCTGCCTCAGGTCTGTCCACAATGCACTTAGCTCCACCTCTCCTCAGTCTCCCTTGGACAGGCCTGGCTGGGGATGCCTCCCAGACTGACAGAGTCTTGGAGGAACTGGCAGTCTTCAAGGTGGCCAAACAGGATGGCCAGGCTGCTTCTGCAGGGGAAACTGAGGCTTGCTACAGGAGGACTCAGCTACGGTCCTGCAAATGGCAGGTTAGTGGTCTCTAGGCTCTGGACAGAAAGAGCCTCAGTAGCCCCTGCCCCCATCCCCGGGCCTGGGAAATCCCACTCAGATCTCTGCCTCATGGGGTCTCAGGCCAGCGGGGCTGGTGTTGGAGGTTGTCCCTTCTTCCTCTGGGCTCTGGGCTGGACAAGAGGTAGATCTGACAACTGGAGAGCACGTGCCAGATGCCCAGCTCAGCACCATTGCACCGTGGAACCACACTCTGAGGGGAGAAGCTCTGTCTGCAGCATCTGCCCACGTCCCCGGTACAAGTGCTCGCAGCGCCACAGGGTGCCACTGGTGCATCAGTCGTGACTGGCTCCAGCAGTTGGGAAGTCAGCAGCTCTGGGTGACAGCAGCTGGGCACACCCCTCGTAACTGTGATGGTCTGAGGTCCCCTGGGGTACTTTGTGCCAGGGCCTTGGAGCCCACGGGCAGCCCTAGATCTGGTGGCATGCCAGAGCAGGGGCAGCGCCAAGCTGGGCATCACCGCACAGCTCCCCTGGACAGAGGAGCTCAGGGCCTCCCAGGGCATAGGGCTCCGAAATGAGCACAGAGGTCTTTGCCATAGGCCACCTCCCCGAAATAAGGTTCAAGATGCCTGAGAGAGGGTTCTGTCTGGGAGATCAGAGGAGAAAGAGGGAGGGAGAGATCAGGAAAGGCTCCCAGTGGGAGGTGGCATTTGTCCGGGGTGGGGGACGCAGAGCGCTGTGGGTGCAGGGGCAACCGGAAGCCTCACAGGCCCCTATGCACTAGCATCCCAGTGCAGCCTCTGTCCTAGAAGCTCTGGGACTTCGGGCCTCCGTTTGCTCCGCTGCAGAGTGGGCATGATGACCACAGCACCCCCCTCCTGTTGGTCAGTCCCCATGGATCCTGTTGAGATGCAGGGGGAAGGACACTCCGCCCCTCCCAGGCTCAGCCCCGGGGCTGGGGTCTCGAGCTGCCCTGCCGCTGGCGATTGTGGGGGGACCACCGGCCGGGCCTTTGCCTTGCAGCCCGCCCATTCTGCCCTGGCTCAGGGCTGCGAGGTCTGGCGCGCGGGCCGGGCCAGGCGAGGACGTGGGTGGACACAGCAGCCGGTCCGGCATTCCAGAGCCGGGCCCGGAGCCGCGCGGCCGCGGGGAGGGCGGGGACCAGAGCCGCCTGCCGGCCCGCAGGTGGCCGCGCGCGCCCACGGCCAGGTGGGCGTGCCAGGCCCCGCCCTCCCCGCGCCGGCCGGGGGCGGGCAGCCGAGGCCCCGCCCTCCCGCGCCGGGTCGGAGCCGGTGCCCGAGCGCAGCAGCGCGGAGCCGGAGCAGCACGCGGAGCGCGGCCCCGCAGCGGGCCGGACGAGGGAGCCGCGCGGAGACCCGGCCCGGAGCGAGAACCCCGGCCCCGACAGCGACTCGGCCCCCGGCCCCGGCCCCGGCCCCGGCCCCGGCCCCGGCGCGGCCCCGCTCGCCCCGCCTGCCCCGCCCGCCCCGGCCGCCGGGCATGGACGGCGCCCGCTCGCCCTGTGAGTGCGGAGCCCCCCGCCCGCCGCCTTTGTGTGCGCGCCGCGCCGCCGCAGCCCCCTCCCCGCGCCCCTCCTGCGCCCCGGGCCGCGTCCTTTGTGGCGGAGCTGCCGCCTGGCCGGGGCCTCGCTCTCTCCGCGCGGGGACCCCAGGGACGGCCCGGAAGCCCCCTCCCCGGCTCGGCGGGGCGCGCGTGCCTGTCCCCCGGCCTCCGCCACAGCCCGCCCCCGGGGAGGCCCCGGCCGGCGGGTCGCGGTGCAGACCCCTCCCCGGGGCGGGGGGCGCGCGGGCGGGCGCGGCGGCGCCGTCCCCTCCGCGGCCGGGCAGGTGCGGCGGGCGGGCGCTCACGCGGCCGGGTGTCCTTGCCCGCAGAGATGGACGGCGATGGCGGTCCCCGCTTGCTGACGGAGGCCGGGCGCGGCGCGGGGCCCGCGGGCATGGCGGAGTCGGCGGCGGTGCCGCGGGCGCGGGCGGCGCGGCCCGGGCCCCAGCGCTTCCTGCGGCGCAGTGTGGTGGAGTCGGACCAGGAGGAGCCGCCGGGCCTGGAGGCGGCCGAGGCGCCGAGCGCGCAGCCCCCGCAGCCGCTGCAGCGCCGGGTGCTCCTGCTCTGCAAGACCCGCCGCCTCATCGCCGAGCGCGCCCGCGGCCGCCCCGCCGCCCCTGCAGCCCCCGCGGCCGCCGCGCCCCCCGGCGCCCCAGCCGACGCCGACCCCGACCCCGGCCCCGAGCCCGCGGGCGCGCAGCAGCTCCGCCCGGACCCCGCGCCCTCGCCCCCCGGCGACCCCCGGGAGCAGCAGGAGGCGGCGGCGGCGGCGGCGGCGGCCGCGGCGCGGGAGGACGCGGCGGCGCCCGAGGCGAGGCCCGAGCCCGGGCGCGCACGCCGGGGAGAGCCCGAGGAGGAGGAGGATGACGAGGATGACCTCAAGGCCGTGGCCACCTCCCTGGACGGCCGCTTCCTCAAGTTCGACATCGAACTGGGCCGCGGCTCGTTCAAGACGGTCTACAAGGGGCTGGACACGGAGACCTGGGTGGAGGTGGCCTGGTGCGAGCTGCAGGTGAGGGTGCGGGCGGCCTGTGCGGTGGCCCGGGGTGCGTCCGCGCCGGCCGGTGGGGCTCGGGCTCGGCCGGGTGGTCTGCGGCCAGGTGTCTGTGCGCAGCAGAGCGCGGCTGCGGGAAGCCAGCGCCTTCTGGAGCCCGGCGAGGTGGAGGTGCCCCGGCGGGGACGGTGGCGGGGCTGCGCCGACCCGGGTCTGTGCGAGGTGGGGTTGCCCAGGGCCTGGAAGTGCCTCCGCGGCCTCCCCGCGCTCCCAGAGCCCAGGGGCCCGAGAAATGGACGTGTCAGAGGTCGTAAGGCCAAGTCGTACAAAATGCAGGGAGGGTTGGGGCTCCCCCCCCTTTTTTTCTTTTTTTTTTTTTTTTTCTTTCTTTTCTTTTTGATGCAAAGGCTCTGGACATGGATTTTTCATAACCTTGCCCTCACGTTGGCTGTGTCAGCCCTAGCCCCGGAAGATTATATAAATGGTAACCTGAGCTGCCTGGGCCAGCCTTGGAAGCCAGGACAGTGCCCAGCAGAGCGGTGTTTACGGGCCCTCCCTCACTGGGGGGGGGGGGTGAGGGGGTCAGCTGCCAGGCGTGGGGCTCTCCTGAGCAAGGAGAGCTGGGGGCCCGGTGTAAGCCTACCCGGCACCCTGTGAAGTTAGCGGAGCCTTCCAGGCCTGATGCAGGGCAGCTCGCCACACTGCAGGCTGCCTGCCTCTTTGGCTCAGAAACTGGGTTCGGTTGGTCTGTCCTTTGGGCCCCTGCAGCATGGCCTGTGTGTGTGTGAGCCCCATTCACTTGGTGGGTGTCAACCTTGGCCCCTCTCCAGAGACAAAGAACTGCGGAGGCCACCCTTTCCTGCAGTCCCTTGGCTTTGCAGTAGGAATGTGGAGTTTTGTCGGCAGGGCTGGTGGCATCCAGTGGAGCCCGCCAGGAGGGACCGAGTCCTGCTTCCTCGTGGCTGAGAGGTGGCTTTGGTGGTTTGTGGTCTTGGGGCCCTGGTGTGCCAAGGATGATGGCGTGGCTTGAGCCTGCTCCCTCCCTTAGCAGCAGGGCTTCGCTGCCGCAGGAGAAAGGGAGGACCGCAGAGGAGCCGGGGACCCCAGGTTTCAGAGCGGGCCCTGTGCCTTCTCTCCCCACCCCCTCCCTCCCACCAGGTGACCCTGCCTGGCACCGCAGGCCCCCACTGGTGCTTTGCCTTGGAAGGAAGGCCAGTGCAGGGTGGCGGGCAGGACTGGGGGTGGCAGCAGGCGGGCTCTGAGGTAGGCCTCAGCCGTGATGAGGCATTGCAGGCACACATGACCCTTGGAAGGGTTCTTCGTTTCCGTTCCCTGTAAGGCAAGGCAGGCGGCTCGGCTCTGCCTCCGGCTCCCTGAGCAGAACACAGGCCTGGAGCCTGGCTGCTGTCCAGGGGTCTTTTATGCCTGGACTCTGGATGGTGGTGGGAAGGCTGGAGAGGGCTTCCCGAGTGTCCTGAACAGGAGGTGCTGGGAGTCCTATCGGCGGGACGCCGTCCTTGTAATTCCCCCAACGACGGGGCAGCTAGTGTTTCCTCCAGTTCCTTGGGCAGCATCTGGGGTCAGCTGCCTCTGCTGGGCCGGTCCCAGGGGGCCCTATGGGAGATGGGGTCTGGAGCAGTGGGGCAGCAGCCAAGAGCTGTGTCCAGTGGCCTCCTCGCCAACCAGGAGGCTGTTATATACCACGCGTGTTGTTGGGGACCCCCGAAGGTCACCCTTGAGGACACAGGCAAGAGAGGAAGCTTCTAGCCTGGCAGGCCACCCTCTGTGGAGGAGGCAAGGGTGCGAGGAGGGCTCTGGGACCACCATGCGGCCAGGCAGGGCAGCAGGTGGCACGTTGGGTTTGTGCCCGGGGAGGGGTTTCCTAGTGCCCCGCGTGGAGGTGCTCATCAGCTCCCAGCCCCCAGGATTGCTGTGGTCAGTGTCCCGGTGGAGGGTGGGTGACAAGGAGCTGTGCCTTTAGCATGGGGAGCTCCGTAGCCTCCCCTTCCTCGGCCCCCTGGAGATACCTTGGCTGGCGGCTTTGGAATGCCCCAAAACTGACTCTCCAGAGTGTTTCCTTCTCCTGCCCTTAGGACGCTGGGGGGGGGGGGGGCAGGTGCACCTGGTGGCCTCCGCCAGAACAGAGGACAGCGCCTCGCCAGAGCGGGAAAGGCAGTGTCCAGACCTGGGGGTGGGGTTGGCTCCGAGGACAACCTCTGTGAATCAGTGTGGGAAGGGCTCTGCGACCAGGCATGGTCCCTCCTCAGTCCTCAGGATAGCCCGAGCTCACGTTGGCCGTTAGAGGGAAGCCATTTTAAAGTATTACCTCCCTGCCTTTATTCTTTTGAATGAACTTTTAATCTGGTACCAGACATGTTATGAGAACAGTAGCAGAAGTACATGCACACACCCCAAGGGGCTGCCCCTGCACATGTCCCATGTCCCCAGTGCTGTCCCTGGCTAGCTCTGGGCCTGTGTAGACCCAGTCCCTGTGTAGGGGCAGATCTGGAGCACCGACAGATCTGGAGCAGATCTGAGCCAGTGGGGGTCCCTGAGGGCAGAGAGCGCGGCCAGCCCAGGTGCTGCTGGCACCTGGAAGCTGTGTCAGGTGGGCTACTGGCCTCCCCAAGGTTGTTTGTCACTTGTGTCTTCTTCAGGATCTTGGAGAGAGCCTGGTTTTCAGTATCCCCTATCTGTGGCCCTGCCTTCGGGGAAGCTGTGGTCCGTCTTCAGGAGGCTTTGGGAGCTGCTTTTACAGGGCTGAGCACTGCTCTGGGGTGGTGGGGGGTCCCTCCTGGGACCGTGCTTCCTGTGCTGGAGTTGGGGCCTGTGTGCCATGTGGGGGTTGTGCTGCCTCATGGGGGTGTTGATCCTGGACCCTCTGCTGGGAGTACCTGTGGGGCCCTCGTAGGGCAGAGTGAATCTACAGATAAGCTGTGGGGGGCTGAGCACAGCAGACAGGCACGGGTTCCCAGACCTCGTGGGTGCTGTCGTGATGTTGTCCTCTGCTCTGCCTTGCCCAGGGGTGATTGGGCTTCCGAGAGGCAGGCCAGGCCTGGAGACCACAGGGCCTGCTGACAGGGGACCTCTGGCATCCCCCTTGTGTCTATGTGCCGCTCACCTGCCTGCACCCGGGGAGGCTCATTGCGTGTGGGTGTGCTGGGTGTGCCCGTCCCCTTGCTGCCCTCAGAGCATCGTGGGTCAGCCTCCCTCCAGTCCAGCCCAGCAGAGCCTCCATGGCCGCGTGTGCCCCACCTGTGTCTTCCGCAGACCAGGGACACCTGCTGTGCTGGGTGGCTTCGTACCCAGGTTGAGAGGCCCCCTCGGTGGCCTTGTGTGCTCTCACAGTGGCCATGCGTGGTCAGACCTGTGAGTGGGGGCTACATGAGGAGGCCGCTGTGCTTGCTGGAGCATGATGTGTGGCCCTTGGGGCCCAGGTGGACGCTGGCTGCTGGGCATCTTGCGTGTCTTTATTTGCACATGTTGTGATTGTGCAGTTCTGTCGACAACTGGGGTTTGAAGTCAGCAGGCCAGCATAGAGCTTGTTGCCTTGAGCCACGTTCCCCGTTTCCCATGCTGTGGTTTCCCATCCCTTTGTGGTTTTGGTTCTGGTTTGGTTGCCGGGAGACCTCTGTTGACGGGCTCTCTGTCCCCCCTGCCTTTGCAGCTCTGGGGTGCCATGTTGGGGGGCAGCGTGGTCAGCAGTGATAGATGAGCACCCCAAGCTGTGATCACTGTTGTGGGCGCCCTGGATGCTTGTGGCATGTTCCCGCGGCTCAGCAGGTGCCTTTCAGGGCATCTTCGGAGGTGGGCTGAGCCAGATTCAGGCCTGATGATGGCCAAGTCACACGGGCCCCAGACTCAGTGTGGGGGGCTAGTGGGCATCCTCACCCCCCACCTGCCAGTGTCATTTCTGGGTCGTGGCTTAGGCAGGTGCACAGGCTTTGCAGGTGGGCTGTTAGCCGGAACACAGGTGGTCGGGAGCTGCCCCAGGAGGTTCCAGATGCCAGGTCCCCTGTCAGCGGCACAGGCAGCTGTGGCTCATTGGCCCAGCTGGCATTTGTTGAGTGCATGCCCTGGTTCCAGCCTGGGGGAGCAGGACAGACCACCCCACAGTGGGAGAGCAAGGCCCTTACGGAGGAGGGGTGTTTTCTAGAAGCTTGTGGGAGGCGGGACGGACACATGTCGGGGGAGGCCATCCTGTGGTCCTGGGCTGGCAGGCTGGCCCTGAGCGTGGCTGTAGGCCTCACTGGGGGCCTGTAGCTTGAGCCCAGCTGTAGGCTGAGGCTGGATGATGTCCAAGGTGACAACATGGAGCTTCAGGTCAACCTCTTTGAGGGAATAGAACTTGACCCGGTCAGCGGAGTTTCAGGCTGTGTGCCTGGGTCTCCTTTGCCCCACATGTAGCCGAGTGGGGTGGCAACTGGCCTAAGGTGCTGAGGGGTATGTAGGAGCCTGGCAGGTGGGCTGGGCATCCCAGGCCCACAGTGTCCCCGTGGGGAGGCCTGGGGAAGGCACCTGCTGTGGGCCTTGGTTTACCTGCTTGTGATGTGGGAAGAGTGCAGGCTGACTGTCCTGGGGTGGTCGGGACTGTCGGGAAATGTCTGGCATCGAGCCCTGAGCAGGGTGAAGCACATCCTGCACATGATTGTGAAAGCAGAGACTGGAGTGAGAGCTGGCTGACCCTGGAAGAGCACGGAGGCCTGCCTGCAGGCGTAGTTGGTCCCCGTGGGGTAGGCCCCCCAGGTGCAGGTGGGCTGGGGCCTGTGCTCCCTGCTGGGTAAGGGAGGGTGTGACCCCGGTAGCTGGAGTTTCTGAGGAGCTGCCGAGGATCTGCCTGTGGCCACACGCAGATTAGGGCCCATGTTGGGGGTGGAGAGGCCCCAGGTGGGGATGGTTCAGGAGGAGAAGCTGACAGTTGGCTGCAGGTTTTCTCACTTCAAATAGTTTTCAGACCTGGTTCTGTTCCCCGGCGGGCTGAATTCTAAGATTTTCCGGACTGCTCGATCATTGCCTCT